GTGTCTCTGCAATAGCATAAAGCTTGTGATGGAATATATCAAATATTTGTTCCTTCTCATCAGCCAGAATTTCTAATGGGAGTAAATATGGACATATCAGAGGATCGCTGGAGCTTTTATTGGATATGCATTGTGGTTTTCTTAACTAACTGGAATTACGCAGACGGACAGATTGTTTATTCTGTGTCGGAGGAGGTGAACACTGGGACCACGGTAGGAAATTTAGCAAAGGATCTAAATTTGAACGTGCAAGACCTCGAGAGGAGAGGATTTCAAATCGTATCGGGGCCTAATAAGCAGTATTTTGATCTGCATGCGAGGAATGGGATTCTCTTTGTTAGAGAGCGAATAGACAGAGAGGAGCTGTGCGGTCGGAGCTCCAAATGCGCTTTAGAGTTGGAGGCCATTGTTAGTGCGCCAATGAGCATATATAGATTTGAGGTGAATATTTTAGATGTTAACGACAATGCACCGACTTTTCGCACCTCAAAACTGTTTCTTAATATTTCTGAACAGACATATCCTGGGCAGAGATTTACATTACCAAGTGCATTTGATCTCGATGCTGGTGTAAACTCAGTAAAAAGCTACAAGCTGAGTGCGAATGAGCATTTCTCTCTGGATGTACAGAGCGCAGGAGATCAGAGTGTGTCTGCTGAATTAGTGCTGCAGAAAGCTTTAGATCGAGAAAAACAGCCGGTGATCCGGCTCACACTGACCGCTGTAGACGGAGGAAAACCTCCAATGTCTGGTACTACGCAGATTATAGTAAATGTAGTAGATGTGAATGATAATATTCCCGTCTTCGACAAGCCGCTTTATAAAGCGCGCATAGCAGAGAATTCAGCCATTGGGGCTTCTGTGATCACAGTGAGCGCAAAAGACGCAGACGAGGGTCTTAATGGCGAAGTCATATACTCATTCATAAATCATGATAATGAAAACAGCATAAATGCGTTTTTAATTAACCCAAATACTGGTGAAATCACTGTGAAAGGCCCTTTGGATTACGAAGAAAATGCTGCGATTGAGATTCGTGTTCAGGCCGAGGATAAAGGACAAAACCCACGAGCATCCCACTGTAAAGTTTTAATCGAAATCATTGATTTAAATGATAACACACCAGAAATTAGCATAATGTCTTTGGTTAATGAAGTGAAAGAGGATTCGGCTCCTGGTACAATGGTGGGGTTAATCACAGTAAAAGATGGAGATGCTGGTAAAAATGGCGTTGTGCGTCTACAAATACGCGACTCGGCGCAGTTTAGGTTAGAAAACACTTACAAAAATAGATTTTCGCTTGTGGTGAACGGGCCTTTAGATAGAGAAGTGGCATCTGAGTATAATGTGACAATCAGCGCTGCTGATGAAGGGACTCCGCCTCTCTCTAGTACCAGTGTCATTGCTGTACACGTTTCTGATGTCAATGACAACGCGCCGCGCTTTCCAGAGCCCGTCATTAATGTGTATGTGAAAGAGAACAGTCAGATTGGAGCTGTTCTTCATACAGTATCTGCTGTTGATCCTGATGTAGGTGATAATGCCAGAATAACATATTCTTTACTAGAAAGCTCTAAAAGCGGCCCGGTAACATCCATGATCAACATCAACTCTGACACTGGAGATCTGCACAGTTTACAGTCGTTTAACTATGAGGAGATCAAAACATTTGAGTTTAAAGTTCAGGCCACAGACTCTGGTGTTCCTCCGCTCAGCAGTAACGTGACTGTAAATGTGTTTGTCCTGGATGAGAATGACAACAGTCCCGCGATTCTCGCGCCCTATTCCGAGCTCGGTTCCGTTAACACCGAGAACATTCCCTATTCTGCTGAGGCGGGCTACTTTGTGGCCAAGATCAGGGCTGTAGATGCAGATTCCGGTTACAACGCGCTATTGTCCTACCACATCTCTGAGCCCAAAGGAAACAATCTGTTCCGAATCGGAACCAGCAGCGGGGAGATCAGGACTAAGAGGAGAATGAGTGACAATGACCTGAAAACTCACCCGCTGGTCATTTTGGTTTGTGATAACGGAGAGCCCTCACTGTCAGCGACTGTGTCTATTGATGCTGTGGTTGTTGAAAGCGGAGGTGACGTCAAGACTCCATTCAGACATGCGCCGGTAAAGGAGGAGAGTTTCTCGGATTTAAATCTGTATTTGCTGATCGCCATTGTGAGTGTGTCCGTCATCTTTTTACTGAGCCTCATCAGTTTGATAGCTGTGAAATGCCACAGGACAGACAGCAGTTTGGGCAGGTACAGCGCCCCGATGATCACCACACACCCTGACGGGAGCTGGTCTTACTCCAAATCTACTCAGCAGTATGACGTGTGTTTTAGCTCAGACACACTGAAGAGTGACGTAGTGGTTTTCCCCGCGCCATTTCCGCCTGCAGATGCAGAACTGATCAGTATTAATGGAGGAGACACTTTCACCAGAACACAAACACTGCCTAATAAAGAGAAGGTAAGAGATTAAACGTTTTCATTGCAACGTTTTGGTTTCGTTTTGTAGTGTTCCTTCACAAAGGAATTTAAAATTATTGGCCTTCATTGGAACTATCCGTGGTTCTGAATCTGAAGAATATTGTGATCGATTGTGTCTGAAAATTTGCTTTTGGTGTCATGTTTTTTTCAAACATCTAAATTATGTTAATAGGGAAGGAACAATTTTTTCCACAATATTTCCTGTTATATGTTTCTTATGGAGAAAGTCTTAGTTGTTTTATTTTGGCTGGAATTAATAATAAATCACAACGAAACAGCTAAGGTCCTTATTAGGTCATTGTTATCATTAGCTCCCTTAAGATTATTTTAGTATTTTTTGTCCAATGAGTTCCCTAGTTAATATGAATAACATAGTTAAACCTTTAAATTACACTTTAAGCTATACTATATTTTCTCGCAGATTTCCAGTGTTTCCTCTTATTAACATTGTTAATGTTCTCAGACCAATAAAAACAGTACTAAATTCTGAAACTTAAATTAAAAATTTTGCTGATTAATGTTAGCTCTATTTTAAAATAAACTTATGATTCATTTGTTATTTATTTGTATTAAATTAGAATTTTGCGTTTGGGTGGAGCTGTCTCTTGTCCTGATTATGGTGACGTTTTAAATGCGGGTTGGTGCTGCTGTTTTATCTTGTTATTAATATATTTCTCCTTAATTTATTCTAAAATACGTTTTGTATTTTTACACTTTCTTACAAAATCAATAATTTATTATTATCATGATAATTATTTAATAATAATAGTAATAATTATAATAATATTGCATGCTGCTAATGTTAAATCCGCTGTTACAAATTAAACGTGCATATGTATATTTCTCCTGTTATAAAAGATGAATAAAGTACATGCAAGCACAAAATAGCTTGGCAAACGCACCAACATTTTGTCGCATATTGGATACACTGAAATAGCAATGATTTCTAATAGGCTAGTATTGTTTTTTTGAATAACAGTGATACATTTGTGATATTGGACATTTTTTCGTTGCTTTTAATTCATAAATCCGCTTGGTGTCACTATAGACCGTATCATTTGGTCTAATATTTCGTGTCTGGAAGCCCCTCCTGGTTCTAGTGGGGAGGGGATTTCACAGGGCTTTGTTTCAGAGAGACTGAACGTGTAACAGTGAGCGAAGGCCTCGTGTTGTGTCGTCGATAAAATGGGATGTTGTCTAATATTTCTTGATTCGCGTGGATGAACTTGGATTTTCTCTTTTGCTTTGTGGATAACTGCACTGGATTCAGTGGATGTCGCGATGTTCTCGATGCACAGAAGGAGATCTGTCGTGGCTTGTTTTGTGCTCGTTGTTTTAGTGTGTTTCTGGGACGCGGCATCAGGGCAGCTCTCCTATTCTGTTTCTGAGGAGGTGAGTCCGGGAACAACAGTGGGAAATCTCGCTAAGGATCTAAACCTGAATGTTCAGGAACTGGAGTCGCGCATGTTTCAGATTGTCACGGGAGCCAAGAAAAAATATTTCGAGGTAAATCTAAAAACTGGGTTTTTATATGTGAACGAAAGAATAGACAGAGAGGAGCATTGCGCCAAAGCGCCCAAATGCACAGTCAGTGTAGAAGCGGTTATCAACAATCCATTAAAGCTTTATCAGATAGAAATCAATATTGTGGATGTAAACGATAATTCTCCGTCATTTAGCGAGAAATCACAAACAATAGACATTGCAGAAAACACACTGTCAGGTGTTAGATTTCCTCTTCATCATGCTACAGACGCAGATGTTGGAAAAAACGCCATTAATGATTACAAGCTTAGCTCGAATGAGCATTTTTCTTTAGCAGTGCACAGAGGAGAGGGTGTATCTGCTGAATTAGTGCTGCAGAAAGCTTTAGACCGAGAAAAAAAGCCTGCGATACAGCTCACACTGACCGCTGTAGACGGAGGAACACCATCTAAAACTGGTACATCGATTATAATGGTTAGAGTTTTAGATATTAATGATAATGCTCCTGCGTTCAGTAAGCCCTTGTATAAAACATCTGTTTTTGAAAATGCGGCTATTGGAACGACAATTGCTGTGCTAAACGCGACAGACTTTGATGAAGGCAGTAATAGCGATATTATTTATTCTTTAATTAAAAGAGATCAAAATAAAGTCCTGCAAATGTTTGATATTGATCAAAATACCGGTGTTATTATAGTCAAGGGCAATATAGATTTCGAAGAGAACAACGCATTTGAGATCCGCGCACAGGCCAGTGACAAAGGACAGCCCCCAGTATCCACACAATGTAAAGTCCTAGTGGAGGTGCTGGATATTAATGACAATGAGCCAGAGATAACCGTGACGTCACTCCTCAGTACAGTGAAAGAGGACGCCAGTATTGGCACTGCTGTTGCTCTGGTCTCAGTGATTGACAGAGATGGTGGCAGAAACGGTGTGGTGAATTGCGCTGTGTCAAATAATGTGCCTTTTAAACTTCAGACAAATTACAAGAATTATTATTCCTTAGTGGTAGATGGACCTCTAGACAGAGAGCGCGCGTCTGAGTATAATGTGACAATCAGCGCTGCTGATGAAGGGTCTCCGCCTCTCTCTAGTACCAGTGTCATTGCTGTACACGTTTCTGATGTCAATGACAACGCGCCGCGCTTTCCAGAGCCCGTCATTAATGTGTATGTGAAAGAGAACAGTCAGATTGGAGCTGTTCTTCATACAGTATCTGCTGTTGATCCTGATGTAGGTGATAATGCCAGAATAACATATTCTTTACTAGAAAGCTCTAAAAGCGGCCCGGTAACATCCATGATCAACATCAACTCCGACACTGGAGATCTGCACAGTTTACAGTCGTTTAACTATGAGGAGATCAAAACATTTGAGTTTAAAGTTCAGGCCACAGACTCTGGTGTTCCTCCGCTCAGCAGTAACGTGACTGTAAATGTGTTTGTCCTGGATGAGAATGACAACAGTCCCGCGATTCTCGCGCCCTATTCCGAGCTCGGTTCCGTTAACACCGAGAACATTCCCTATTCTGCTGAGGCGGGCTACTTTGTGGCCAAGATCAGGGCTGTAGATGCAGATTCTGGTTACAACGCGCTGTTGTCCTACCACATCTCTGAGCCCAAAGGAAACAATCTGTTCCGAATCGGAACCAGCAGCGGGGAGATCAGGACTAAGAGGAGAATGAGTGACAATGACCTGAAAACTCACCCGCTGGTCATTTTGGTTTGTGATAACGGAGAGCCCTCACTGTCAGCGACTGTGTCTATTGATGCTGTGGTTGTTGAAAGCGGAGGTGACGTCAAGACTCCATTCAGACATGCGCCGGTAAAGGAGGAGAGTTTCTCGGATTTAAATCTGTATTTGCTGATCGCCATTGTGAGTGTGTCCGTCATCTTTTTACTGAGCCTCATCAGTTTGATAGCTGTGAAATGCCACAGGACAGACAGCAGTTTGGGCAGGTACAGCGCCCCGATGATCACCACACACCCTGACGGGAGCTGGTCTTACTCCAAATCTACTCAGCAGTATGACGTGTGTTTTAGCTCAGACACACTGAAGAGTGACGTAGTGGTTTTCCCCGCGCCATTTCCGCCTGCAGATGCAGAACTGATCAGTATTAATGGAGGAGACACTTTCACCAGAACACAAACACTCCCTAATAAAGAAAAGGTAAGAGATTAAACGTTTCATTGCAACTCTTTGGTTTCGTTTTTTAGTGTTTACAATCTTAACGATGTTAAAAGTAGTGCAATGGTTAATGTTGTTATGCGTAAATTTATCAGACGAATGTAAACCGCTCCATATAAACTATATGTTTCAAATTAATGGCATTCATTGGAACTATCCGTGGCTCTGAATTTGGCTAATATTGTGATCGTTCGTGTCTGATATTTTGGCATTGCTGTTACGTTTTTTTTTTATCTAAGTGAAGTGATGTTTATAGGGCAATGAATTATTTTTCACAATGTTTCCTATTATATGTTTCTTCTGGAGAAAGTCTTAAGGTTTTTTAGTTTGGCTGGAATTGATAAAATATATAAATAAAACTGACAAGATCATTACTAGGCCATTATTAATAATATTAGCCCCCTTAATAAATGTTTTAGCATTTTTTGCCCAACAAAGTTCCGTAGTTAATATGAATAACATAGTTAAGCCTTTGCATTGCATTTTAAGATATACTATATTTTTCTCTAACATTTCCAGCGTTTTCTTTTATTGACGTTGGTAATGTTCTCAAAGCAGTAAACACAGTACTGAATTCGCAAGCTTAAAATGTTAATATTCACCTATTAATGTTAGCTGTTTTTTTAAAACAAACTTACGATTCATTTGTTATTTAGTTGTATTAAATTTGAATTTCGCGTCTGTGTGGAGCTGTCCGCGGTTCTGATTATGGTGATGTTTGAAATGCGGGTTGGTGCTGCTGATTTATCCTGTTATTAATATATTTCTCTTTAATTCTAAAACACGTTTTGTATTTTTACACTTTCTTACAAAATTAATAATTAATTATTATCATTACTATTATTATTATTATTTATTATTATTATTATTATTATTATTATTATTATTATTTATTATTATTATTACTATTATTATTATTATTATTATTATTATTATTATTATTATTATTAATAATAGTAATATTTTAAACGTGCATATGTATATTTCTCCTCTTATGAAAGACGAATAAAGTACATGCAAGCACAAAATAGCTTGGCAAACTTGCACCAACATTTTCTCACATATTGGACAAACTGAAATATCAATGATTTGTAATAGGCTAGTATTGTTTTTTTTTTAATTTTTTTTTTATAAATGACAACTGTAATGATGATTTTTGATATTGGACATTTTTTTTTTTTTTTTTTTGCTTTTAATTCATAAATCCGCTTGGTGTCACTATAGACCGTATCATTTGGTCTAATATTTCGTGTCTGGAAGCCCCTCCTGGTTCTAGTGGGGAGGGGATTTCACAGGGCTTTGTTTCAGAGAGACTGGACGTGTAACAGTGAGCGAAGGCCTCGTGTTGTGTCGTCGATAAAATGGGATGTTGTCTAATATTTCTTGATTCGCGTGGATGAACTTGGATTTTCTCTTTTGCTTTGTGGATAACTGCACTGGATTCAGTGGATGTCGCGATGTTCTCGATGCACAGAAGGAGATCTGTCGTGGCTTGTTTTGTGCTCGTTGTTTTAGTGTGTTTCTGGGACGCGGCATCAGGGCAGCTCTCCTATTCTGTTTCTGAGGAGGTGAGTCCGGGAACAACAGTGGGAAATCTCGCTAAGGATCTAAACCTGAATGTTCAGGAACTGGAGTCGCGCATGTTTCAGATTGTCACGGGAGCCAAGAAAAAATATTTCGAGGTAAATCTAAAAACTGGGTTTTTATATGTGAACGAAAGAATAGACAGAGAGGAGCTTTGCGCCAAAGCGCCCAAATGCACAGTCAGTGTAGAAGCGGTTATCAACAATCCATTAAAGCTCTATCAGATAGAAATCAATATTGTGGATGTAAACGATAATAAACCGACATTTAATTCAAAAACTCAATATTTAGATGTCGCTGAGAACACTTTACCCGGCGTAAAATTCCCTCTTTCTTATGCGTCTGATGCGGATGTAGGAAAAAACACAGTGAGCACCTATAAGTTAAGCCAAAATGAGTATTTTTCCTTAGCAGTGCACAAAGGAGAAGAGCAGAGCGTCTCCGCTGAGTTAGTTTTGCAGAAAGCTTTAGACCGTGAAAAACAGCCTCTGGTCCAGCTTACACTGACCGCTGCAGATGGAGGAAATCCGCCGAAATCAGGCACGTCTCAGATAATTATTAGGGTTTTAGATATTAATGACAATGCTCCTGTGTTCAGTCGCCCTTTATATAAAGCAAGTCTTGTTGAAAACGTGCCTATTGGTAGCACTGTAATAATTATAAATGCAACCGACAAAGATGAGGGTACCAACAGCGATATCATTTATTCACTTCGAGAGACAGATCAAGATCACATTTTAGATATTTTTCAGATTGATGCGATTACGGGTGCAATCACAGTCAAGGGCGATGTAAATTTCGAGAAAAACAATGCGTTTGAGATCCGCGCACAGGCCAGTGACAAAGGACAGCCTCCAATGTCCACGCATTGTAAAGTGCTGGTGGAGGTGCTGGATATTAATGACAATGAGCCAGAGATAACCGTGACGTCACTCCTCAGTACAGTGAAAGAGGACGCCAGTATTGGCACTGCTGTTGCTCTGGTCTCAGTGATTGACAGAGATGGTGGCAGAAACGGTGTGGTGAATTGCGCGGTGTCAAATAATGTGCCTTTTAAACTTCAGACAAACTACAAGAATTATTATTCCTTAGTAGTAGATGGACCTCTAGACAGAGAGCGCGCGTCTGAGTATAACGTGACAATCAGCGCTGCTGATGAAGGGTCTCCGCCTCTCTCTAGTACCAGTGTCATTGCTGTACACGTTTCTGATGTCAATGACAACGCGCCGCGCTTTCCAGAGCCCGTCATTAATGTGTATGTGAAAGAGAACAGTCAGATTGGAGCTGTTCTTCATACAGTATCTGCTGTTGATCCTGATGTAGGTGATAATGCCAGAATAACATATTCTTTACTAGAAAGCTCTAAAAGCGGCCCGGTAACATCCATGATCAACATCAACTCTGACACTGGAGATCTGCACAGTTTACAGTCGTTTAACTACGAGGAGATCAAAACATTTGAGTTTAAAGTTCAGGCCACAGACTCTGGTGTTCCTCCGCTCAGCAGTAACGTGACTGTAAATGTGTTTGTCCTGGATGAGAATGACAACAGTCCCGCGATTCTCGCGCCCTATTCCGAGCTCGGTTCCGTTAACACCGAGAACATTCCCTATTCTGCTGAGGCGGGCTACTTTGTGGCCAAGATCAGGGCTGTAGATGCAGATTCTGGTTACAACGCGCTGTTGTCCTACCACATCTCTGAGCCCAAAGGAAACAATCTGTTCCGAATCGGAACCAGCAGCGGGGAGATCAGGACTAAGAGGAGAATGAGTGACAATGACCTGAAAACTCACCCGCTGGTCATTTTGGTTTGTGATAACGGAGAGCCCTCACTGTCAGCGACTGTGTCTATTGATGCTGTGGTTGTTGAAAGCGGAGGTGACGTCAAGACTCCATTCAGACATGCGCCGGTAAAGGAGGAGAGTTTCTCGGATTTAAATCTGTATTTGCTGATCGCCATTGTGAGTGTGTCCGTCATCTTTTTACTGAGCCTCATCAGTTTAATAGCTGTGAAATGCCACAGGACAGACAGCAGTTTGGGCAGGTACAGCGCCCCGATGATCACCACACACCCTGACGGGAGCTGGTCTTACTCCAAATCTACTCAGCAGTATGACGTGTGTTTTAGCTCAGACACACTGAAGAGTGACGTAGTGGTTTTCCCCGCGCCATTTCCGCCTGCAGATGCAGAACTGATCAGTATTAATGGAGGAGACACTTTCACCAGAACACAAACACTCCCTAATAAAGAGAAGGTAAGAGATTTGGTGTCTCTCTTAATTTGCTGGCATATTTGTGGGGGTTTGCCTTATAAGTTCACATAATGAGTTAAGAGTTTATTGGCGACTGTGTCACTTCTCGTCTCTTAAGTAGTGTGTGCTGTCCATGGTGCTGATATAGGTAAACATGTTTAAGACATTAGAATGGATTTTTCAGATTTACTTATTTAATTATTTTAATTGTTGTTGTTGTATAGTAGTCCTAAGCCAGTTTTTATTTCCAGTAATTAAACTATACGGGAGTAATTGTTAATGTACTTGTTAAATTTAGGAATATCACTCTTCATCCCATCAACCTAAAAGAGCTATTATTTTAAATGGATGTTTATTTAATATTTATTTGATGTTTATAAACCATTTATTTTGTCTTTTTTTTTTTTTGTAGATTTGTCTATATTGCATTTCAGTATTCTATTTCTCCTTTTAAAAGAGTTTTTAGTTTCTTTAGTGTTTTTCCAGGAAAACATTTCCTATTTATTTTTATCAGTAAAGGTGAAGGCAGACTTGATCCGTTTCGGTTTGAACTTAATTAATTTTGATCATATTTAACTTTGCAGTGTTTGCTTTTTGAATTGGCGGCTCATTGCGCTGTGGCGAACCCTGATGGAATTGGATAATTGGAGGAAAGTAAGCGAGTGTCTTTGCCATACTACCTTGTGTATCCACTAGGTGTCGTTAACGACCTATCTTAAAAATAATAGTACTCCTTTTTTATTCTCATTCGAACTCCTCCCTGTTTTGGGGCAGGGCGTCTGAGCTCGAGCTGTGCTTTGTTCAAGAGAAGCCATAGTAGAGAGTGTGTGTTTTGCGGTGCTGTGCGTGGATTATTTTACTAAAACAATGTGCGGATGTGTTTAGTTTGTCCTGTGGATTAAGTGCTGACGGATCATGGCGAATTCTGCAAGGGAACGAAATAAATTATGGATATATATCATTCTTTTGAATATCCTTCCGCGGATTTCCTCTGGGCAGATTGCGTTTTCTGTGTCGGAAGAGGCCAGTCCGGGGACTACAGTCGGAAATATAGTCAAAGAATTAAACCTTAATTTGCAAGAACTGGAACACCGGGGATTTCAGATCGTTGGACCCAACAAAAGGTATTTCGATGTAAATATGAAGACAGGAATATTTCAAATTAAAGACAAACTAGACAGAGAGGAGATATGCGGACAAAGCTTAAAATGTGCGTTAGAGCTGGAGGCCATTGTTAATTCGCCACTGAATATGTACAGATTTGAAGTGAATGTTTTGGATATAAACGACAATCCTCCCACATTTCCTTCCTCCTCATTACACTTAAATGTATCTGAGGCGGCATTTATAGGGGAAAGATATTCTTTACCAAGTGCAGATGACGCGGATGTTGGTGTCAATTCGGTGAAGAGCTACAAGCTTAGTGCAAGTGAACATTTCTCTCTGGATGTTCAGAGCGGAGGAGAACAGAGTGTGTCTGCTGAATTAGTGCTGCAGAAAGCTTTAGATCGAGAAAAACAGCCGGTGATCCGGCTCACACTGACCGCTGTAGACGGAGGTAAACCACAAAGATCAGGGACAGTAAATATAATTGTTAATGTTATAGATGTGAACGATAACATTCCTGTTTTCACAAAATCACTGTACAAAGCTCGAATTTTAGAAAACGCACCCGCTGGATTCTCCGTTATCACTGTAAACGCCAAAGATGCAGACGCGGGGGAAAACGGAGAGATAGAATACTCATTCATTAAACATGGTAACAATAAAAATATTGAATCGTTTGCAATTAACAAAGAAACAGGTGAAATAACTGTTCTGGGTAAATTGGATCACGAGTCAAATAATGCTATTGAAATACGCGTGCAAGCGAGAGATAAAGGCTCGACTCCAAGAGTAGCTCATTGCAAAGTATTAGTAGAAATAATGGACGTTAATGATAATATACCAGAAATATCTGTAACGTCTCTTATTAATGTTGTGAAGGAAGGGTCACCAAAGGGAACAATGGTAGGGCTGATTACTGTAAAAGATGATGATTCTGGAGAAAATGGATCAGTAAAATTAAAAATACTCGACTCCCTTCCGTTTGTATTACAGAACACATATAAAAATAAATATTCACTCGTTGTGGATGGACCTCTAGACAGAGAGCGCGCGTCTGAGTATAATGTGACAATCAGCGCTGCTGATGAAGGGTCTCCGCCTCTCTCTAGTACCAGTGTCATTGCTGTACACGTTTCTGATGTCAATGACAACGCGCCGCGCTTTCCAGAGCCCGTCATTAATGTGTATGTGAAAGAGAACAGTCAGATTGGAGCTGTTCTTCATACAGTATCTGCTGTTGATCCTGATGTAGGTGATAATGCCAGAATAACATATTCTTTACTAGAAAGCTCTAAAAGCGGCCCGGTAACATCCATGATCAACATCAACTCCGACACTGGAGATCTGCACAGTTTACAGTCGTTTAACTATGAGGAGATCAAAACATTTGAGTTTAAAGTTCAGGCCACAGACTCTGGTGTTCCTCCGCTCAGCAGTAACGTGACTGTAAATGTGTTTGTCCTGGATGAGAATGACAACAGTCCCGCGATTCTCGCGCCCTATTCCGAGCTCGGTTCCGTTAACACCGAGAACATTCCCTATTCTGCTGAGGCGGGCTACTTTGTGGCCAAGATCAGGGCTGTAGATGCAGATTCTGGTTACAACGCGCTGCTGTCCTACCACATCTCTGAGCCCAAAGGAAACAATCTGTTCCGAATCGGAACCAGCAGCGGGGAGATCAGGACTAAGAGGAGAATGAGTGACAATGACCTGAAAACTCACCCGCTGGTCATTTTGGTTTGTGATAACGGAGAGCCCTCACTGTCAGCGACTGTGTCTATTGATGCTGTGGTTGTTGAAAGCGGAGGTGACGTCAAGACTCCATTCAGACATGCGCCGGTAAAGGAGGAGAGTTTCTCGGATTTAAATCTGTATTTGCTGATCGCCATTGTGAGTGTGTCCGTCATCTTTTTACTGAGCCTCATCAGTTTGATAGCTGTGAAATGCCACAGGACAGACAGCAGTTTGGGCAGGTACAGCGCCCCGATGATCACCACACACCCTGACGGGAGCTGGTCTTACTCCAAATCTACTCAGCAGTATGACGTGTGTTTTAGCTCAGACACACTGAAGAGTGACGTAGTGGTTTTCCCCGCGCCATTTCCGCCTGCAGATGCAGAACTGATCAGTATTAATGGAGGAGACACGTTCACCAGAACACAAACACTGCCTAATAAAGAGAAGGTAAGAGATTTAGAGCCTCTGGTAAATTAATGCTATTTTATTTCATGGGTTGTTGGCTTGCTGATTTTTATTTATATTCACATTTTGAGCTAAGTGTTATGATGTTCATTTTTGTCCTCGCTACGCTTTGTTTTCCCACAGTTAGTGCTGTCCATGGTGCTGATATAGCTGTCAAAAAGTTTGAACTATATTACATGTAGCACGATATGGCTTTTTATTGTACGAGGTATGTTGTGGTAACATTGCCAAAGGCAGCGCCAATGTTCACCGTACGCATCTCTTTTGACTTCTTTGCGAAACGAAAATAATAGCGTTTTACATAGTCCAAAATAAATGTGCACTTATTTGAATAGCGAAAATCTTCTATTGGATTTCTAGTATATATTTATATATTTCAGTGTGAGACTTTATTTGTATTTTTTAGTCCATACAAATCTTAATACCCTGGGTTCCCTTTAATATTACAAATTTTACAGATGTCTTGATTGGTTTGATTTATTGTAGTGCTCGTTTTTGTATAGTGCTACTGTGCTTGTTTTATTTGCTACATATAAACTACAGGAGTGGTTTTGTGTCTGTCTTTGGATAACTTTGACATTTTCTATAAAAGTATATTTGCTTATTTGTAGCAGTAAAGGTGGAGATAGGTGGACTTGTTCATTTCAGTTTGAACACATTTAGCTTTCCAATATGTTTGCTTTGCCATACCATCTTTGTGTATCCACTAGATGTCGTCAGAGATCCGTCTTGCAATTTTTATTATTGTTCCTTTTAATCTTGCTCGGACTCCTCCCTGTTTTGGGGCAGGGCTTCTGAGCTCGAGCTGTGCTTTGTTCAAGAGAAGCCATAGTAGAGAGTGTGTGTTTTGCGGCGCTGTGCGTGGATTATTTTACTAAAACAATGTGCGGATGTGTTTAGTTTGTCCTGTGGATTAAGTGCTGACGGATCATGGCGAATTCTGCAAGGGAACGAAATAAATTATGGATATATATCATTGTTTTGAATATCCTTCCGCGGATTTCCTCTGGGCAGATTGCGTTTTCTGTGTCGGAAGAGGCCAGTCCGGGGACTACAGTCGGAAATATAGTCAAAGAATTAAATCTTAATTTGCAAGAACTGGAACACCGGGGATTTCAGATCGTTGGACCCAACAAAAGGTATTTCGATGTAAATATGAAGACAGGATTATTTCAAATTAAAGACAAACTAGACAGAGAGGAGATATGCGGACAAAGGTTGAAATGTGCTTTAGAGCTGGAGGCCATTGTTAATTCGCCACTGAATATGTACAGATTTGAAGTGAATGTGTTGGATATAAACGACAATTCACCCACATTTCCTTCCTCCTCATTACACTTAAATGTATCTGAGGCTGCATTTGTAGGGGAAAGGTATGCATTACCAAACGCTTTTGACGCAGATGTTGGCATTAATTCGGTGAAGAGCTACAAGCTTAGTGCAAATGAACATTTCTCTCTGGATGTTCAGAGCGGAGGAGAACAGAGTGTGTCTGCTGAATTAGTGCTGCAGAAAGCTTTAGATCGAGAAAAACAGCCGGTGATCCGGCTCACACTGACCGCTGTAGACGGAGGAAAACCTCCAAGATCAGGAACAGTAAATATAATTGTTAAAATCATAGATGCAAATGACAATATTCCTGTGTTCACAAAGTCGCTTTACAAAGCTCGAATTCCAGAAAATGCGCCTGTCGG